AGGGAGGGGAAGGGAGGTGGGATTAATAGTAGTCAATATCTGTCTGGGGAAAGGGGGGCATACCTCATCAACAAGGGTACCTGTACAATGAATATTTGTATACCTAACCCTTAATTGTACCCCACAACTTTAAAATAAAAAATATATATTAAAAAAATAATAATTCTTCAACACCCCCCACCTCTACCTATTTGTACCTGAGCAATGTAAACAAGCCCTAATCCTCAAACAACAACACAGGAATGATCAGGGCCCAACTGCTTACTACAACCGCCAAACTTGTAAAGGCTTCTACTGACTTGGTTTAAGGATTTGCTAAAACTTATGGTTTCTCAGACTGTACAATCCTCGCTGCTTACTGAAAATACATTTCTCAGCAAGCAGGCTCGACTTCTATGAGTTTCTACTACTTTTTTCCCCGCACATTTCCACTCAGGGCTATAATACCTTAAGGCCTACTAACAGAAAGACAAATACCACATGATCTCACTTGTACAAGGAATCCAACAAAAGTCAAACTTACGGAAGTTGAGAGTAAAATGGTAGTTACCAGAAGCTGGGGAGGTGGGGTTGTGGGGTGGAGGGAATGGGGAGATGTTGATCAAATGTACTAAGTTCCAGTTAGACAAGAAGAATAGTTTTCAAGATCTAATGCACAGCATGGTGGCAACAGTTAATAATAATGTATATTTCAGAATTGCTAAGAGTAGATTTTAAATGCTTTCACTACAAAAAAATAAGCATTAAGGCGATGGACATGTTAATAATTACATTCATATAATCATTCTAACACATACACACACACGTATTTCAAAACATTACACTGTACCTCATAAATATATACAATTTTATTTGTCCATTAAAAATTTAAATAAACAATAAAGAGGCATGAAAACAAAAAAATCTAGTTGCTGATTCCACTTGCATTTTTAATTTGCACAAAGTATGCAATAATATTTGACATTTGTCTCCTAAAATTGCCAATAAGTCTACCATATAATCTTACCTAATTTTATATATATAACACATATATATATCATTAATTTCACTTTTTATGTTATTCAATATAGATGAGGGGGACCCCCAAAAAACTGGAATTTATTCTTACATGTTTAAACTTCAGTCACCTTTAAAGTCTTCTCCATTTGATGCAATACACCTATCGAAATACTTCTCCCACTGCTCAAAACAGTTTTTGAGCCCATCAATTTTGATGCCTTTTAGTGCTTCTGCTGTTTTATGTTTCAGCTCTTCCACAATGGCAAAACATTTCCCTTTGGGGACTTTTTTCATCCAGGGAAACAAAAAAAGTCACTTGTGGCAAGATTTGATGAATAGGGAGGGTGGGGCACAGAGGTCATACATTTCTGGTGAAAAACTGCTGAATGTTCAGTGCAGTGTGGGCAGGTGCGCTTGTAAAATCACCCATCATGAAATGGGCAAACGCACTGAAAGAGTCTCCAAAAAGGAATTCACCTAAACCTAATGCAGCCTCTCACAAAAACGTTAGTTGGTCCACTGATGCTGAGGGGTTCCTAGAGCACTGACCCAGTGGGGGAAGCCTGTAC